CAGATGTGGATTCAGGCTGTTTAGATGACTGTGAAGAGTCTGTCACCGCATTGTTAGGTCGACCGTCTCTGTAAGCCAAATCCATAGGTGTTACTTCTGAAATAGGTGATTTTTGGTCAAAGAAACAAATGCAATGTTTACTTACGCTGACTGTTCATCGAGGTGCTTTTTGCAGATAGCTGCCAGATGGGCCATTTTGGTAGTATAGAAATCACTGTCTGCAGAATCACCTATAGGGAAAGAGATAGGGTATGAGTTTCTTGTTGCAGTAAGAGTCTAGTGATGTTAAAGTCCGCATGAACTGGATGTTGTAACAGACTTTTATTTCAGTATGTTTTCCAAATTAAACGGAATATTGAGTAGAGGGCAGAGTTTTAGTTGTGCTCCTCTCCTCTTTCACACAACAAACTAAGGCCCCCATTTACACTAATACGTTTTACACAGAAGTTTTTGATCCCCGAAAATGGAGCGTTTTGCAACACTGAAGAGGCCGTTTTTGTTTTAAAATGCTGCTGCTCCATGTCAGTGTGGATGGGGGGAAAACTGAGGCCTAGCTGCTGATTGGTGCTTTTTCTCAATATTAAGTGCACAAAGTTCTGTACTGCACTCTTTCCTTGTAAGTTAAGACTTCACAATTTTGATATGGAAAACAAACTCCCAAGAACAAGTCGGGTAAGTCTTCAAAGGGAACAGTGTACTTTATCACGTCAATCGCATCCCCCTAGCCACGTTGTCTTAAAAATAAAAACATGCTTTAAGGAACTGCCTATATTCATTTTAATATGAACAACTTAACAGACACCAAAAATGTTAAGGCATCATGTAGCTACATATTTATATGACTGTCATCTTCACTGTATGCCTATTTCTAACACAATGGAGTGTACACACACACACACACACACACACAACAGTTCTGTCTGGTTCTCAAATCTGATTGGCTGATAGCTGTGCAATATTCTGCAATATCAGAACTCCTACAGCCTCTTTACCCTTTGTGTATTACTCCGCTCACATAAAGCCAGCAAAAAGCAGACACTACAGATCTAAAGTTTAAAAGATGCTTGCTCAACTGTTTAACTGTCAGCTTATGATTTGAATCCAATGTGGAAGAAAGTAGTTCCTCATACAAAAGGGTTTTTGAGACTCTCCATGTTTGATTTTGTTTTTATATACACAATTATGCCGTCAAACTGTTGTGTAAACGCAATCTCACACTTGTAGCAGTGCGCTATGGCTGTATATTGGCACTGGTGGGGGAACTAAGGCACTCGGCCTGTGGCCTCGTGCCAACGCATGCCTCCCACCAGTGCCGATATACAGCCATATCGCACTGCTACGAGTGTGATATTGCTCATATATATATATATATATATACACACACACACACACATGCTGACTTGTAGCTCAACATTATTATAACAACAACATTATTATAAAAAGTAAAAACAGCTATGCCACTATATTTTTTATAAAATACAAATAAATCATGGTGACTTTAAGGTACATTTCCTGCTATTAACAAAAATATTAACTAAGGCTTTTAACTTCATAAACTACTAACTAGCTGCTTAATTATAGGTAATAGGGTAGTAGATGGGTTTAAGTATTGCAGGGATGTCCAAAGCAAGATAAACTCAGCAGGACACCGGCCCTCCAGGACTAAGTTTGGACACCCCTGAAGTATTGGGTAGGATTAGAGATTTAGTATAAGATCATATTTTATAAGTAGAAATAGACCGCCAATATCTAAACAATAAGCTGGTAACATACCAGCACTTAATAATGAGAATTAGTACTTTATTGGGGTTACCAAAATCTTTTAATATCTACTACACTTGATAAACTTAATGCATTATTATATGTCTTTTTTTTTAACAAACAAAAATCTTACTGACCACCACCATGATTATATAAGACTTTGCTTCTGTTCCCAATTTAGTAGACATAGCATTTAGTTGCAACCCAAAGCTCATCAAAATAATCGCGTTTACAGTATGTGGTCAGATTTCAGACAGTCTCAAGTTGGGATGCAAACTTAAAGGGTCACGAAACACCAAAACACATTTTTTGAGCTGTTGACAGTCGTATATGTGTCCCACACTGCTAAAAACACTATTAGGACACCTATATTTCACTAAAAAGTGTAAATTGGTTGTTTTTGCGTTATTTCAAGCAAATTCGTACTTCCTGTTTGAAACAAATTTTCGAAGCTGCGTCACGGTCATAACATAATAGCGTTGTATTCCAGCGTGTAGACTGGACGTCTGTGCCAGAGTGAGTTTTATTACGTCTTGCAGTGTGATGCATTAATGCATGAGTAAGGCTTGGTTCAAACCAATCAGCGCGCTCTATTGTGCAACTTCATTACTATTCAATACTATCACGCTACGTTGTGTTGGCAAAACAAGCGTTAAGTGTTGTTTTATAGTTTGCTGCAGTTAAGTTTCGTTGTTATTTTCTCTCTGTGAGAGCTCAGAGTCACGTGTGGATTAACAGTGTATGCGACGCGCGACAACAATAACTTACGTGTCTAAGGAGGATTATTGTTTACCTGAGAGCTGTTCTCATCTGCAAACGCTGAGATCTGGATTCGTTTGTAGTATTCTCTTCATAAAGATGCGGCTCTAGTTGCTGGTGATTGTCCTGTCTCTACAGATTTGGTAAGTGAGCGACCAGTGCTCTTTGTTTATTCAGTTTGTTCGTATCTAACAAACTATTGCACAGAGTGTAAACACGTTAGCACCACAACCAAACTTTAACCTCGTGTAGGGTTTTTTACCGCATTTAGTGACCGGAATAACACACGCGGCTTTCTGACGCTACCTGCCGTGTGCATCTAAGTTTCTGGGAAATGCGGAGGTTTTTTTTCTCTCATTCGCCGTGCGGTATAAAACATTGCATGAAAAATACACACTTAGAGCAGCTCCTCGAATCAAATATCTCGTGTGTCGCGAGGGGCATGAATGAATTCCCTGAATGAAAGAGCCAAACTGCAGTTAAAGTCCACCATTTAATAATTTGGCAAATAATTCGACTACAGATGTCCATGTAGGTTAAACACCATCACTTTCTCCTGTATGTGTGTGTGTGTGTGTATTTTGACTCTGAAACTCGCGCGTGCCCAAATAGACACTCCCACAACATCCCACTTTTCTTCCTCCGACACTCCCCCCTAAACAGAGCTGGACACGCCCACTTTTCTGACTTTTTCCAAAGTAGAGGTGTAAAAACACCCTGCTGAAACGAGGGGGTTTCATGGCCCTTTAAGACTGGTATTATTAATAGCGATTGACCAAACAACCATTCAAAGTCTGAAGTAGAAAATCCCCACAGAAAACAGATGACGGTCAGACAGCTGATGGCTTGCTAACAATGAAATGACAAAAATAGCTCACCTGTCATTTTAATTGGACTAGAAGGCGCAGAGTTGATTTTCCTGCGGTCATCCTGAATGCTCTTAACCAGCTTGACTAGAGAATGATGGCGGGTAAAACCTCGCTTTGTTCCAGGGGAGGAAAACAGATTTTTAGCACAGTTTTCAACAGAGGAACGAGACTCGAGAGGCTTTGGTGCTGAGGATGTAGTGGAGATCTCCAGATCTGTTAAACAAACAAATATACAAAGTCAACACAAGCTTTAAAATAAACATTCAAGTCTGAATAGGATTATGAACAGGTCAGATTTCATGTGAAACATGCTTTAATGCTTACCCTTTGGAGATGGTATGTCTTCTGGCCCAGTCCATTTGAAAGCAGGCTTTCTTCCTTTATCTTCAGTCACGTGCACTTTCTTAATCAGCTCTAGGCTGCTCAAAACATTCGCAATGTCATAAAGTCTACGGATCTTGGCTGCAAACAGAAAGTTCAGTAATCAGTTTTCATTTTACTCAAAAAATGATTTTGCTAAAAATGATGAGTAAAAATTAATTACGAGTCTTTGAACTCTGTCTTTAATCAAATATAAATCAGTGCTCTTCCAGGGTTTGGCGTTAGGACCAAAGTTTCTTAAATAATAAGCAGCAAAAATGGTCTGCACTCAATAATTTATTAGACAATAGAACAGGAGAAAAAAATGTTTGGTTCAGTACTCTGTCATTTCAGATGTTTGGGTATTTTTAAAACTGTATCTTCTTCTACATGGTTTCACAGTTTGTCCGCACGACACCGGAGTATCGTGTGACTGAATCCAAAACTTTCTGAAAACTTCGGCCAGGGAGGAGATTTTCCAAAACTGCAGGTACCAGTGGGGTTGTGTGGACACTACAACCGTAGGTTTTGAGCAATTTCAATGCAAACATCAACCTTGCCATTTCTCAAAACAGTGAAACACTTTCTATTTTTTTTTTAATGTAGGCTTGTATTTTACAGTACTGCAAAAATACTTATGCTGAAACTGCTCATTTATAAAAAAATACTCGTGTACATGGGTTCAAGGGGTTTGCACACAGGATAAGCCGCTCGGTAATGCACACATGACAGTTGGAAGTATCGCACACCAGACGTGCACATTTGAATGTTATTTAATATGAAACTATTCACATGGTGCTTTGTAGCACGGCAGAAATATGAACCGAGCGGTGGATCCGGTGTGCGGCCGCAGAATTATAGGTAGTAAGGTAGTAGATGGCCCACCGAGCGGTGGATCCGGTGTGCGACCCCGTTTAGTCTAATTACATTCACATCCTAAGAATTACAATGAAAAAGTTAAACATCAAAAAGAAAGAAAGAAAAAAAAAATACTCCATCCCGCACCATGTTGTATATATATATTGTATAATATAAAAATAAACAAAACAAGACTAATACATAGCCAAAATATTTGTTTTTCTTTTCTCTTGATGTACTGTCTAATGAATTGAGTATGGACTATTTTTGCTGCTTGACATTTATGAACTCTCTTTACAAAAGTACTTTCTTCAGCAGTTCTTACTTGATTATGCTCTTCTTGCAAGATTTGTATAGAAATGGATAACGTAAATTGTGTTGTTTATAAGCATGATGTAATCACTCACTTTTGAACTTGTTTTTGTCCTGGTCCACCACATGATCTTCACCGATTAGGATTTTGGCAGCTACATCCAGACTAACCACAGGAGGACTGGACACCAGGAACAACATGACAAACTTCTGACTCATCACTCGCAGAGATTTGTCTTTCCGACTGTTCGCAGAAGCTGCAGGTAAACACAGTTAATTAGCCTCATTAATAAACAAAGCAAAAAAAATCAGTTATCAACATACACACACACATTGTGACGATTCTCCATGAACTTTCATAATGCATTTATGTATATAAATTTATATATAAACAAACACAGTATGTAACATTTAAAGTGGACAATTTTTTTCTTCTTCAAAATTGTCAAGAATGGATTGTTCAATAGTTTTAGGACAATTTGATGAAAGTTTCTGATCCACTTCAAAAAATAGTGTTGACGACAAGCAATAGGAAACATGCAGAGCAATAGAAGATTTTCCGCTGCTTAATCGATTGCGACTGTTTGGCTTTCTTGGGTGGATACAAAAAAATACTATAAAAAGGGCATAATAACATTATTCATGTGTCACCACCAAATATACTTGAGAAGCCGTTAAATAATACCTGGGCGGCCCACCCAAGTAAAGTCTGTGTAGGAAGCAATATAGTCACATCACAGAATGTGACCATGTAATTTTGCATTTGATTATTCAATTTCTGTACATGAATACTGTTAGACTCCCCAGAAAACCAAAAAGCACTGTTTGTTTATTTTTGCTTGTAATTTATTATCATTTAAGCAGATGCACTGCACAGAAATCTCTCCAAATAGAGCTACTCTAATCCTTTGGTGAATTGATATTCATATCGCAGTAAAAAAATAATGCAATGTCAGACTCTGGGTTCTTCCACCTTTTCCAATTTCAAATTCCAGCACTTTCAAGGTGCACTTTTATGCTTTTCCAGCACTTAACAACCACGGTAAATTACGTTTATACATGCTGTATGTACTTTTTCCTCGTTTTAATCTATTGTGCTATTTTTAACAAACACACTATGACATTTTAACTTAAATTGTTGAATACTTTGGAGCATAGATTTATTGGGATAGTTCACCAAAAAATGGTAAAAAAAAAAAAAAAGTTCAGCTATTTGAGGATATATCTTTTTAAGTTTGCTCTCATTCTACCTAAAGTTGATGTCTCAAAATATTACCTTACAGTCAGATTTTGTTTGGGTGTAAAATTCCAAAATTTCAAGACCATATCCATAATATTTCATGTGCACTGGTAATCAAAATTCATGTAACAAATTAAATCCTTATGAGTCTGAGAATATTCTTGCTGCAAATAATTAAACTGTTCTTATGTCAACGGTTTTGAAAATCAGTCACCAAATATGGAAACCATGGTTTGTAAGCTGCAGTTGCTTGACTGACAACATTGTGATGATTAAATGAAAGACTAAAATCTCTTGCTTAAAATGTGTGGCAAATGCGATTACCTGCAAACTCTGTCCTTCGGGCTTTACAGTGAATGGCTTTAGTCATTTTAATAGAGGAATTTAAACTACCGGAAGTCTTTGGGAAAAGTGTAAATGGTGGATTAACATTCACCACATGATCACTGATCAGATGTGCCATTATTTGTAACTTTAGGTGGTTTCCAAAACTAAATCTGTCAGTGGGGGCTAGGCAGTGGCGCAGTAGGTAGCGCTGTCGCCTCACAGCAAGAAGGTCGCTGGTTCGAACCTCGGCTCAGTTGGCATTTCTGTGTGGAGTTTGCCTGTTCTCCCTGCCTTAGCGTGGGTTTCCTCTGGGTGCTCCGGTTTCCCCCACAGTCCAAAGACATGGGTGAAATATCTGGCGCATATGCCACCAAAACGGTCGCAATTTCAAATTCAAGCACGTTCAAGCACTTTGTGCAAAATCCAAGCACTTTTCTAATTTTAAAAACACTATTTTAGAAATCAAGCATTTTCCAGGATTTCCAGCACCCGTATGAACCCTGCAAGCTTCTGCAATATCGCACAGCCCTACTGATGATTTGATGAATCATTACATAAATTAGCATAGAAACACAATCCAGTTCATGCAAGTATGTATGAGATGCGTAGACACTACTAGAGCCTAAAACTAAAAACAAACAAGTCGTTACCTGCTTTAGAATCCGCTCCTGGAAGATCCGCCAGCCCAGAGTCTCCGTCAACTTCAAAACTGGACATTTCTTCATTCTCCTTCTCCTCTCCATCCAAATCGAACTCTCTCTCTTCTCGCTCTTGACTCCTTTGTCGGATCTGCTGCATAAGCTGTTCATAGCGGTTCTCTTTTCCGGCCCGTTTCAGCACAGCAAGCGTCTGTGCAAGTTTTACTCGACCATGCCAAGTGTAGCGATTCTTTGCCAGCCGGCTGACCATGTTAAGGCTTTCAAGGACATTCATGATGTCGTAGATGCGACGTCTTTCCACGTCTGAGAGGAAAATGAGCAAGGATACAATTAGGATTGATGGAAAAAAAAATGTATTTCATGGGCCACATTTTATTTTTAGATACAACTTTCGCTATTAACAAACCCTTAACTATGAGTTTAAGCTTAATAAACTTATAATTTACTTATTATTAATAGTTATTAGGTACAATTTGTGTTTAGGTATAAGGTAGGATTAGGAATGTAGAATAAGATCATGCATAATATGTATTTAGGTACTAATAAGCAGCCAATGTCTTATTTATAAGCAGGTAATAATCCACTAGTTCACCGTTTCCCAACTCTGTTCCCGAAGGCACACCAACAGTACATATTTTGGATGTCTCCCTTATCTGACCCATTAACATCAGGATTTGGAGTGGAGTTGATTCGGGTGTGTTTGATTAGGGAGAGGTTTAAAATGTGTACTGTTGATGTGCCTTCAGGAACAGGGTTGGGAAACACTGCACTAGTTAATAGTGAGAATAAGTCCCCTATATTAAAGTGTTACCATTTCATGAATAAAATATCTGATCGGTGAGCAACTTACGCAGTTCTGCTGCCACATCATCAAGGCTGATACCGTTGTTTAGAGCAGGGTTGGGGTAGTTTGGGTACCTTGCAAGGAACTTGTAACACAACAAACCAAGGCTTTTGTCTTTACGGCTTATATGGAGCTTTTCTACTTCTTCCCCTTGCTCGGTCTCCTGTGTGACACGACAATAAAAATATAAACATATATCAATATGTTATAGAATTACAAAGGACACAGGTGTCAAACTCAGTTCCTGGGGCCAGTTGCACCAGCAGTAAGTAGAATAAAACATGGCCTAGTTATGACTTAGAGACACTAAGTTCCAATTAACGCACTACTAAATATTTTTGTGTTGCACCACTGAACTTAATTTAAACAAAACGCTATGTTCAACGAAATATTCACAGCAGCCTCCACCATGTATAACGGTAGAAAAGAGATGACAGCGAGATTAGTTTATATAGAGGAGCTTGTATATTTTATATATTTTAGAATCATTTCCCTCTACTCACAGCCTCATTTTCCTTTCAAATCTCGCTTTTTTCGGTTTGTGAAGGAAGAGTTTAATTTTCTTTCAAGGAGGGTTTTGTGTTCATTGTATCCATCAACTAAATCGAGAATTTTATCATGACAGTTTTTATTCTCCGTGCTCTTTTCTCTTTCACTTGTAAGATATTATATATATATATATATATATATATATATATATATATATTAAAAGAATGTTTAATGTTTTGATAACTTAGTATTTCGTGTGCAGTCTCACACGGAATCTACTAGCGCAGAATTCCATAGATTTTTTTGCCCATCATTAATTCTGTTTAATTGAGTAAATGTGTGTAAAGCTATATTTATTCAGTTTTTATCTCAGTAATATTATTGACTAATATGAAAATGTTCATCTGATTTATGCACAATGTAGTTTGTACAATTATATTTTCAGTTTTTTTATTAGATATATTATATGAAAGACTTGCTTTGTTTATCAAATAAAGTGAATTTAATTGCATTTGCATTTTAAACATTAAATAAAAGTTAAAAAGATATTTTTTTTATTTCATATATTAAGGTTTTTTTTTATGATACTCCCAAAATAATTCCACAGAAATCTGCAGATTTTTACCAAAATTCTCAGCAGAAATGGCAAAAAACGCAAGATTCTGTCTGGCCCTGGTCATGACTCGTGATGCGGGTATGTGCGTCTGTTATAAGTGACAGACTGTAAAGTTCTATAAAAATGTAATTTATAATTTAATTTTCATGGGACGGTTATATAAAGACATGTTAGTTGCAGAATTTTAAAGCAGTTTAACAATTTAAACTGCAAGGTCGAAACCAAACTGTGCAAGGCTGCGGCCCTCTAAGAACTGAGTTTCACATCCCTGACATAGGACAAATTACATGTAGAAGATTGTCAAATTATATTTCTGAAGTCTAAGGGTGCTTTCACACCAGTGAATCGATTCAGTTATTCCGAAACAGAGATTACAAATGATACATTGTTGCTCTTTGCTCTTGGAGCGGTTCGCTTTCACACTGCAAAGTTTCTAATCGGACCAAAAGAGCTAAAACGCGTCACGTGCGAGTAAACTCTCCTCACATTGGTCAGAGTGTCAGGGTTTATTTTGCAGCGTCCCGCTAAGCTGTCAGGAGAGGTGGTGGTTTGGTGGTGATTGACAGGGTGCGCGCGCGCGACGTGTCTGAGGAGAGACACGGTGGAGAGGGGTGAGAAGGGTGCGCGACGATGCCTATTTGAGGACAGGGAGGGAGATGCAAGATTACCGGGAGATCATCACTCGTTTGCGGGCATCCGGAGACTCGTGAAACTTCCGGCCCTACTCATAATTCTCTCTTCATATAGCCGTAAGCCTATTACATATCCATAAAACACTGTGATATAACCGCGCTCGGATCAGATCGCTTTCTCACTGCAATCGAACCGCTCCAGGGTTCGTTTCAATCGAGCCGAGACCACCTCATTCAAGCGATCTCGGAGTGATTACTTTGGCGCAGAACAGAGCGCGATTGCCCTGTTCACATATGCCAATCGAACCGCGCTAACTGGGCAAACGAGATACGTTCCGAAACAAAAGTGTAGGTGTAAAAGCACCCTAATATGATAAAATTCTCAAACTGTGGTGCGTGTTCCACAAGTGTTACGCGGGCTTCCTTCTAGTGGTATGCAGAGGAATTAAATATGTCAATGTGTACATGCCACAAATATTTCAAAATTTATAAAAAATTATTTATATATGAATATGACATAATAATATTCATTATACGACAAATAGCCTATATTTCTGAGGTCCATGCAACATTTTCAGGTGTTGATAAATTGGCTACTATATGTTAATACTTTACATTTATGTACAGCACTTTTCTCTTTACCTTTAGCACATTTTAATTTAAATGTTGACGTTTTGAGTTTGCTTGTTTTTTATTTTTACATATAAGCACAGTACAGTGTTAACATTCAGACTGTTTGAAGTCACTGACAATAATAAAAATTTTTAATGATAGGAATTAATCTGCCACGTTTTTAAACTATGCAGAACTGTAGCTGCTTTACTGGGCTTACTACGCCACTGTATTTCAATACTGCTTATTACAGTGGTACTTGGAGAGACTATTTTTTTTTCTGAGGTGGTACTTGATGAAAAAAGTTTGAGGACCACTGAACTACAACATTAATAAAATGACTTTTTCGGATACCTGTGAGTTCTCGGATTCGCTGCTGTCCACGGCACGTTCTTTCTCGCGGTTGCGGATCTCAGGACTGGCTGCACTGATAAGCATTTTTAGGTTAGAAGTGGGTGTCCAAGGGTCGCTTGAAGGTGCATCTAGGACCTTAGTAGGCGTTGTCAGGGGCCCCATGATTTTAAGGGTCTCCGGTAGAGCAGCTTCAGATGTTGAAGCTTTATTTGAGTTTTTTAGTGGCGTTTGTGGCTCCACAAAAACATGCCCCTGTTATATTGAAAACACATCATGTTGTATAACTATAATCACACTATTCATCAAGTCAATATTTTGCTCACTACAAAATGACCTGTTATGTTAAAATAACTCACCTTGTTATTTGTAGATGTTGCCTTTGATGGACTTAAAGATTTCTTGATTAATGTTTGACCTTCTGATAATGTACTGGACATTTTCCACCTAAACACACAACACATGAGGCAACGTTACGTCAATCAACGTTGACTAACATCATTTGTAACATTTATTACGTTAAACCAGTCCCACCGTTTTTTTACAGCATTATACATTGTTGGAGACAACATTGCGAAGATCAGTGTCGGTTATAAATTTTAACGCTTTGCTAAAAATGTATTTTATAACTCAACAGATGCAAATCAATGCACGTAAATCAATAACAAATATTATGATTTGAAATAAGTGTTTATTATTTTGCGCTTAGCAATAACTGACAAGCGTTCCATCGAATGGCGAAGGAGAACTTGTACGTAAACACGCCCCAAAATGGCAAAAGCCAATGAGAGCGACGCACAGAGGCGGAACCACAGCAGGTCCCGCGCGCCTCCTCACATTTTGAAATCTTGGCGCGGAATCTCGCAGATTGCGAAAGATTTAATCCGGAAGTTACAAACTTTATTACAACTTTGCGTTATGAATTGCTTTCCTAGTTGATTGTCTTGCGTTTTGAACATTTCAACAGCATAATTTGACTGATACAAATATAAGAACCCGCTTGAGAAACAAATCACCGAGTACAAGCATAAGTAGCTTATCTGCTGTTTAAAGCGTTTCAATAAGTCTATAAAACATACTTAGCGCTCAGGTATTAATCATATACATATATACAATCATATTTACCTCATGACTGCGATAATCTTAACTTAGAACACTGCAAAATGAGCGGTTTCACTGAGTTCGCGCGGGTTCAAAGCCAGAGAGCCAAATGCCGCCAGTCTGGTTTGTCCTAAAGTAAAACGAATGAATGAAATAGCAAAAGCATTACAGCTTAAACGTGTGCTTTTGATTAAATTAGCTAACTAGAGCGGATATGTTAAGACAAAAAAGCCTGAAACCGGCTAATTCGTATCTTACAGACTATGTACTTAGTCGTACATTATGTTCCTTCAGTCTCCATAAGAGTAAAACAACAAAACACGACTTAATAGAAAAAGCTAACAGTTACTCACCTTCGAAAAAGACAGAAGTAGGACTCTCACATACTATTCGGCATCTGTCGAACCAATAAAACAGTAAAAGCACCCCAGAGGTAAATATCACACGTATACAGTTCCAGTTCTGCGAGAATATTGCATCCAAACTCTCCTGTAAGTCACATTAAAGTAAACGTGAACAGATAAAAAGAAAAAACAAACTGGTTTCGGTGCATAGCTGAGGAAAAAAGTTTCTATAGCCTTTTCCTAGTGAGTTAAAAAGTTTATTTGATCAGTTTGACCATTTGTCCCGCCTAGATACTGGACACAGCGCGCTTCAACCAGCTCCACCTCAACACGGCTCTCAGCCAATCACAGCCGTAGGATCTTAGACGGGGGCGGGGTTAGACTTCCGGTTGATACTACGACAGTAGGTCATGAGGTAAAAACTCAGTGAACCAAGTTCTTACGTGGTCTTGACTTGTACTCAGCTCAGTACATACAGCTGTTAATCAAGGCTCTCAAAAGAGAGAATTGATTTAATATTAAAGACATTATTGTTGAGTTTTTTTCGCCACATTTTTTTAAATCAGTCCTGGACAATAACACTCTACAAAGAGTTTTCATGTTTTCACGAGCCAAGTATGAACAACAGCATGAATTAATCCTAGTAGAACATTTACTAATGCATTATTAAAATAATTGATTCTTGTTAGCATTCATGTGTTGCGAGTTCACCATAAAACTATTAATTCACAATGAACAACTTTTCATAAATTTTCGCAAATTTTCATTAATATTTTAACAATGATCAATACATTTATTACTGTATTTATTCAATATTAGTGTAATGTGTTAAACGCATTAACTAACATTAATTAATACATTAATACATTAAAACAGCCTAATTGTAAAGTTGTTTGACAATTTACTTCACTGCATTTGTAAGGTAAAAGTCTGATACTTTTATTATTATTATTTTTAAAATAATGGCAAAAGTTTTCAGTTTCTCTATTTTATTTCACCTAATATATATATATATATATATATATATATATATATATATATATATATATATATATATATATATATATATATATATTTATTTTTTTTTTTTTTTTCTAAACTATTCTAAAACTAAAACATTGGTGTTGTGTTGTCTAAATTGAATGTCTAAAACATTTTTGTTTTTTTCATATGAAAAAGCTGTAAATGACTATATAAAAACTGTAAATGTAAAGTCTTATATTTTTTATTTAGGAAGAAATATATTTATATTACTGCTGGGCAAAGATTAATCAAAAAATGCTAAATTGTTTTGGCAAAATATTTGTGTGTAATGTGTATATTTATTATGTGTACAGACATGCATGCATATATTTGAGAATTCTTTTTTTGTAAATATACAATTTGTCCTTCCAGCTGCAACCCAGCATTGGGAAACACCAAAACACACTCATTCACACACATGCACTACGGCCAACTTAGTTCATCCAATTCACCTATAGTTCATTCAATTCAACTGACCCAGCCAGAGCTCGAGCCACCAACCTTGCTGTGAGGCAACAGCGCTAACTACTGAGCCACCGTGTTGCCACAATTTTACTTTTTTTTTTATATAATGACAAAAGTTTATAGTTGTTCTAATTTTATTCCTGTATACATGGTTATTTTATTTCACCAAATATTGTATTTTTTATTTCTAAACTATTCTGAAACTAAAACATTGAAATTGTGTTGTCTAAATTGAATATGTCTGAAACATGGCACCTTTTGTTTATTATGAACAAAAAAAGCTGTTAATAACTTCATATTAAAAGATTAAGCTTTTTAATTTTATTTAGGACGAAATATCATGTATGTTAGTGCTGGGCAAAGATGAATAGCACAAAATACAAGTTTAATTTGACAATATATATGTGTGTACTGTGTGTATTTATTATGTACAATTGAAGTCAGAATTATTAGCCCCCCTTTGAATATATATATATATATATTTTTAATATTTCCCAAATTATGTTAAACAGGGCAAGGACATTTTCACAGTATGTCTGATAATATTTTTTCTTCTGGAGAAAGTCTTATTTGTTTTATTTTGGCTAGACAAACATACATGCATGCATATATTTGAGAATTGTTTTAGTTAAATTTAAATATTCAATTTATTTGTACATAATACAATTTATATTATTATTATTATTATTATTATTTATTATTATTATCAATCATTTTATGCTGGCTATACACACACACACACACACACACTTCTGTATATATGTTAGAATGTTTAATTATTCATTCATTCATTTATTTTCTTTTTGGCTTAGTCCCTTTATTAATCCAGGGTCGCCACAGCGGAATGAGCCGCCAACTAATCCAGCATATGTTTTACACAGCGGATACCCTTCCAGCCACAATCCATCTCTGGGAAATGTTTGATTATTTGTTATGTTAATATTTACTACTAATATCATTTCATAATACAATTATACTCATTTAAAAGATAACCGAATAATTTTCTCGCAACACACTACTTTTGCCTAGCCGACAAATTCTAAACTAATGTATTAATATTTGTATATATCATACATTTTCTTTTATTGTTATTATTGTTTTTTATGTAATCTATAGTATAAAAAAATGAAACAATATACACATTGTCTTCCAGCACCACTGTTTTTCGTTACATTGCCTTTGTCCGCCGCCAGGTGTCAGTGTGCGCATTGGCTGTGTCGGTTTCTATGGAGACGTTCAGCGGTATGAAGCGTCTAGAAAGCACACGAGAGTGTGTGAGTGCGGAATGACGTCATGTGCTGGAGTGAAGCTGCTGTGGCTCCGCGCGTGCACTGCTGCTCCGCATCCCTCAGCGGACGCTCACAGCTCCTGCTCCGGTGAGTTTCCTCCTATTTTACTGTCTGTCGTCTTTAAGTTAGTGTTTGGACTTGAATATGCCTCGTCACATCTCATCTGTAAGTTCGCGGCTCTGAATTATTGTGCGGTGTTACATTTTTATACTCAATCACTTCGGAACCGAAGCATCTCGACTACAATGAAGGAGGGGCTGCATGGCTGAAATATGACTAGTTAAATCAGAAGTCATTGTTTTCATGGATTCGTACAGAAAAAAAAATAATCAGATGAATGTTTTTAAGTGTTTTAAAAATACCTTTTTGGATTGTTATTTGCTTGTCTGTCACTTGCGTGAGCATGTTTTGACAATATCAAAGTTGAACACTTGTGATTGTTTATTTTGGCGAAGAAACTGTATTTAGAACCATTTATGGGACATTTTATTAGCTTTCCCTGAAATTAAAACACCAATACAGTGAATATAAAGTATTTCATGCCAAAAATTTACAATTTAACCTACAGCTTTAATAGTTTTTTTATGCTAAAAACTGTTATAAATACCTCAGAAAAAGCAAGTTTAAGTTGTTATTATTCACATCAATTAATTAAAAACATGAAATTAGCAATACATTCTATAAATAAATACTAATATATAATACAAATAAACTTGCAACGGTCCCCATGTTTCTGTCAGTCCTGTCACATTTGCATTAAATTTAACATAATGTATGCAATACACGATTAAGGCTCGGAAGTGACATCATTTGACGGAGAAGAAGCTGACAGTGATCAAGGGTGCCTTCTTTCATTAAATTGTATGATTTTCTACTTGTTTTTGTATGATTATTTTGAGGACAACAAGCTTAAGTCAGGCCCTGTTACATTTTTTACATGTGAAAATGTAAGTTTCTGGTAGATTGTCCCTTATTTTGGCATAGGAACTGCATTAAAACCATGTGTTTTGCTCATTTGTTTGCTTATGGGATGTTATATGACTTATGTGTAACTTTACTTGTTAGGTCTTTTATCGAAAGTAGTGATCCAACAAAATACATGCATAAAACTCTCATAGCTATCTGACAACATGATTCAATCCTTATGCAGCATTTAGCTTCAATATTAAGTTAATTTAGTTATTTTTCAAGGGATAGTTAACCCAGATATGAACATTTACAGGTAATTAACTCCTTTAGCCATCCAATGTAGTTCTGCAATATACATTAAATAATTTGTAGCTGAAACTGTGGTCATTAGTCAGTTATCTGAGACTTTGACTGTCCAAAAAACTAAAACTGTAGTTAAATCCAGAGAAACAAAATGAATACTGGCCACTGATAATATATAAATAGGGTATTATGAAACCAGTCAGTCATTCGTTATCTTTTATCCTCAGTGAATAATTCTGTAAATGAGTATTATTAATTACAATTTCACAAGTATTTTGCATATTATAAATCACCAATGACCACAGTTTTGTCTAAACATCATAAATATTATAGTTACTAAAGAAAAAAGTTACCCACATTGTGGATGGCCTAAGAATGAATAGATTGACTGCAATTTTTAGTTTTTCATAATCTCTTTTAATAGAAGTAGCCATCTAATTCAGTTGCAATAAACATTAAAGAAGGTTTATAGCTGAAAGTGTGGTCATTGCTGATTCTTTTGGGACAGTCCAAAAAAAAAAAATTTACATTAGAAGCAAAATTAATACCTGTGACTACTGACAATATATTGAGGTCTTTTGAAGCCCCCAAAAACAATAATTTTACAAGTATTTTGGATATTATAAATTACCAAGGACCACAATTTCAACTAAACATCTTTAATATTATACTACAGAAAACGTTACCCAAATATTAGATGGCGTAAAGGTAAATAAATTAACTGCAAATTTTATTTTCTACTAGTTTTACTTTACTTTTACTACTTATTTTGTCATGTTTTTTAATAAAATTAACTAAAATGATCTTTGTCTTGTTTCTCTTTGACCGACATGCACCTGTTCATGCAAAGAAGACAAATCCCCGCTCTGCAAACACTGTCTCTGGGTACTTTTAGAGAGGATTTCTACAAGAATCAACTCTGACGTAAAGCTGCAGGAGGATGACAGTATGCCGTTTGCAGATTCTGGGATCATCATGACTTTGTGAATGCAGAAATGTGTAATTATGAAGTTGGGGTTGCCGGTCCCAGGGGCCCTTCCCCCCTTCCCGATGCCTGTCACAGAGCAGCCGTGCTGGGCTTCATCTAAAGGGATGCACCATGGTGTGAACACGCGTCTGTTCTACTCCAGCCTCAATGAATCGCACGAATGAACGGACATTTCTGTGGCAAAGGGAATTAGCGCGGTCGCATAGGGACTTTGGATTTGGGAATACAGGAACCGGTCGGAGAGCGTTGGATTGTTATTTGAAGAAGTGCTGTGGATACTTCAAGGAGTGTTTCAGGAAGATGTCTGAGTCGGGAGCCGAGGCGTCTG